CATTAGGTTCTTGATTTTCTTGAAGTCTATCCTGATAACTGAAAAGTAGGATGAAGAAGGATGAAGGATCCAAGATCTAAGAAATTGGAACAAAGAACCATGAACCAAGTACCAAATACCATGAACCAAGAACCAAGAACCAACAACCAAGAACCAAGAACCAAGAATCAAGAACCAAGAACCAAGAACCAAGAACCAATTTCCAAGAACCAAGAACCATGAACCAAGAACCAATAAGAAAGAATCAAGAATATTTCCCATCCAAGATCATTATGGAAAGATCCTGGAAGATCATCAAATTTTACAACGTAGCTTGCAGCCTAAACTAGCAAGCTAGCTAGCCAGCAATCATAACCACATGACCATGATAATTCTTCTAAATTCTTTCACATTTAAAATCCATTAAATCTTCAAAGGCTGTCTATTTCTTACCTCATTGTATGTGACTGTGCCTATAAAGTTCATGACATACGACTCTCATTGGACATTGAATCTTCACATTTTCTTTTTATCTAAATTATTAATGATGATGTTAAACCGGATTTCTGTTGATATTATTCCTCATAAAAATGAATTTTTCAAATTGTCAAAAAAGAGATCTGATTACGCTTTTAGATGTGAGGCTAATTATCCGCATAAGAAACGACGCACAGACATGATATTGAAACCAACGACGACGACGAATGGAGAAGAAAATAAAAAATTATATATATAATATAATCTGTCTAATTATCTGTGCTATGTTGTTTCTTGTAATTAGAGCAAGTCATATCCCCGATGGATATTAATATCATCAATAATAATAAACTCGCATACCTCTCTTTCAATGCGTATAAGCAGAAGCCAGTAAATAATGAAGTTAAGTGTGTGTAAGATCAGATAAAAAAAAAAATAAATATATTGTGTATAAATAAAGAAAGAGAAGAGACAGCAAAAAGGAGATAATCAAAGAATTTTTTTTTTGCTCTGCCATATCAGATGTCGCTCATGCCGTATACCCGCATTCCAGCTATCAAGCACCTCACATGACTTGTGTGTGTCTCCACCTCCTCCCCTTTAATTTCTTTTACTTTTATCTTGGGTATCTTGAGTGTAATTTGTCGGAATGGCATGAATTTATGCAAAATTAGAACAAGCTGCGGATGGAATGATGCCAAAATTTCTTTTATATCCATCCACAACACCCACATCTGTCAAATCCTATTCAAATCTAATTTCTTTAAACACGCATAACTGGCCTTATTGAAGTCATGTCATCTTCTACTTTTTGAATGTTGATTGTCAGAACATTTTGTGCGTAAAAGTGCGAATGATGTACAGCAACAAGTGTAGGATGAAAGAGTTAATAGCATGTAAAAAAAGAAGGAGTTAGATACAAAATTTAAATTAGCAAAAAACATCAAAAATATGTGAACGTAGGTGAAATAGGTCATTGGTAATTATGGGAGGATTTACAAGGTTTTTTGACCTCAATGGATTATTTGGAATGGCAGTTATTTTTTGGAGATTAGACACAAATTTGGAAGATTAGTTTTGATAATTGATTCCTGGTGCTGTAAATGTTTTGTAGTGATGAGTTTAATGTCCAGCACTTTTGAATATCTTTATCTGCAGTTGAGTCACGAGTTTTAAGTTTGCAGGAAGGAAAGTTTCCCATCATGTTGTTTTCCCCTTGCTTATTCTTATGCCTGCAATAAATGCGCCTCCTCCTTTACAAACTACAAAAGATTCATCTGAAACTTACAAAATTAAAATCTACAATTAAATCTGTCTTATATTTCAGTGCCTGTGCACTTTTGTTGATGCTGGCTGCCTGTCGCAATTGTTGATAGTTAATTAAGAAAATCTTACTGCGTTTGCATTAATTTTCGACTGTCTTTTCCTCTTCTTCGTCTCATCAAATCTTTTTCAAAGCTGGCAATTTTTTTGTATTTTAATTGATGCTTCCTTCCTCATTAATTTCATTAATTTTTTTTGTTTCTCGAAAATTTTTAATTTGTCGATTGTATAAGCGAGATAATGGCTTTTTTAAGTCACTTTATAAATACTTCATAATATGTGCATGACTGTGTCAGCATTCAATTGAAAAAAAATTATTTACATTTTTTGCTGAGCTTTGATTCTTTTCGTGTGCACTTTGTGCTGATTTCTTGATGACGTGGGGAGATTTTGTCGAAAAAAAAATGTTTAAATGAACACATCGACATGCTGAACACATGGCACGCTAGCAGTCATTAATAAAATTATTCAAAGGAATTTTTTTTTATATCCAAAAAAATATTTTTTTTTCGACTATCAAAAAAATTTCAAGGAAAAAATTTATTTCCATTTCTAAAAAATTTCTTTCGAAAAAAAAGAAAGAAGAAATATTGAAAGAGACGAAAAGAAGGCATAAAGCAGAGATACGAAAATGTTTTCTTCACGAACCTCGCATACCATCAGCAAAAGGCAGCCCATAACCCCGAAAACAGGCATGGAATGGCTTACAACAACATTTTTTTTCTCTTCTTTCTTTTTGGACTTGATTTCTTAGGAATTGCGGTGATTGTTGGCGCGCTTTTGTTGACGGTATTTAAACTTGAAGGGGTTAATGGGTGATTTTTTTGGATGGAGATCGTTCATAAATGATGATTTGGTAGAGATGACTGAAGTTATGAGACATCTACAGACTGAATTTAGTTTTATTGGACGAAAACTATGCGATAGAGGACGAAGAAGTTCTGAGATACTTAATTTACATCATTTATGAATGACTCCCAAGTAGTTTTGATTTAATTACTCACAATAGTGCACAATAGTGCACTATTGAAGCTAGTTTTTTGACTGAACATAAGTGTTTAGTCTAGGTGCTGGTTTCCAACCTATTTTAATAACAGTCTGAGTTTGTCTGTAACTCAATAGCATGATAACTTCGATGTTTCACCACAGCTGGGCCCAGGGGATCTTTGGACTTTAGGGGTATTAATAATACTGCACTTAGTGAGGGTTTTAGCGCATAAACTTTACATTAGACAAAAATTGTTGCTTGGAAAATGAGAACTCTTTGATGACATTATGGGAATTGAACCGTGGTCTTTAAATGAGAAACCAACATCCTAAAGTTCAGCCCATTGCTCATCTTTCACGGCTATTGCATTTTTGACTGTCTTAGGTACATTTAACATACACAAAGAACTTTCAACATAAATTGAACAATTTCTCAGCTTCTGTCACATTAAAAACAGATCCGAAGCTAAGCACAGATCCTCCTCAACCTCAAAACTCCAAAAAATCAACAAAACTAGTCAACAAATTGATGAATTTTGCACAAACCAAATCAATCTCAACTCAAAATCACTCACAACAGCATTAAGCTATGCTTATCCCACCAACCGATTACATCATCAATCAGTCCAACTAAAATGCGCGCTAGTCCTCAAAAAACTTCATTCCTTACTAGTTTTCTTTTTCATTTTCTGCTTCTTTTTCTTCTTTTTCTTCACTTCTTTCGATTGGAAATATCTTTTAAAAGCGATCGTACAAGAATCATAATGGAATTTAACCAAACATATATAACACATACAGACATAAGAGCACATCAAGAGTCCCAATGAATTGCTCTCACATACACACCTCTAAAATATTATTTTTTGAGGTACTCTTTTGGCTATGCTGTATATCTACATACCACAGCAGCAACCGCGATTGAAATATTAAAAAAAATATATTTTTTTCGTCTTTCGATGTCGATTTAAATTTTATTGTAACTAATAAAGCGATGCTCTTCTCAAAAAAAAAAATAATTTTTAATGCCTTTGGACATAAAAAAAAGAGTTGGACGACTGACATTTTTATGCATGCATGGATATTAAAAAAAAAAGTCTCATTTGAGGAAATTTAATTGCATTCAATAATTGCTATTTATTGAAAAAAAAAGAGAAAAAATGTGTACATTTACACGCGCGTGTAAAGCAAGCAGCAGTACACAACGCATTTTAAGCTCCAAATTCTAAAAGAGACATGAAAATGAAAGAAGTTGAAAAAATGTGAAGCACCAACACAGATGAACTGATTTTTTTTTATTTTAAAATAAAAACCAACTTGAATTGTGAAACCTAAAGCGACAAGGCATGAATGTATTTGTGAATATCATAAACCCGAAGTTATTTCACATACCACAACCACATCCATAGAAATTGGAGAGAATTACTCCAACTTAAAGTCTTTTTTTCTTTATTATTATATTCGCATTCATACAACTATTTTTCCAGTTTTTTTCGTTCGTTTAGTCGATTGGAGAAACTCTTTGTAGTAAGATTGAAAAATATCTGCTGTAATTTTAGTTGCACGCTTCTTTTTTTTGGATCGCGGCTTGCCTGAAATTATAATTTGAATTGATAAACTTTAAAAGGATTTGAACTTGTGAAATTGAGAATTATTGAAAAGTTGTGAAAAAGTGAATTTAAAGAATTTGAATTGAAATTTGAAAAATTTAAAATTGTAAAGTTCAAAACTTAAAAAATTGATATTGTTTTTAACTTAAAATTACACATTTTTAACTTTATTTGAATTTAAAGTGAACTTATAAAATCTTAAAAATTTGAAAAAATTGAAAATTCAAAAAGATTGAAATTTCAAAAGAATTAAAAATTCAAAAATAGTAAATAATCAAAAAAATTGAAATCAAAACTTCAAAAAAAGTTCAAAAAGTGACAAAAAAATTTTGAATTCTTAAAAAAATCTGGCTGAGATTAAAAATCAACAAAAGAACAACCTAGGATTTTGTTCAAAATATTTCAAAAATAAACCGAATTTGACAACAAGTTTTGAGTGACATATCTGATATAAAGTTAAAAGTTTGAAGGTCTTGAACCAAGAATTAGTTTAATGAGAGATTAAATTGAACGATCAAAAGGATTAAGTTTGAAATCTACCCACAAAAATAAACATAAAAATATAATTTTTTTTGTGAAACTCGATTATCAAAAAATTTGATACGAAAATAAATAAAAAAATAGTGAAAAAAGAGAAGAAAAAAAACCACAAAAAGGTGAAAGAAAGTCTATTTTTTTTTCTACATGAAAAAAAGAAGAGAAAAAGAGATAAAGTGAAATTGATTTTGAATTCCTTGAATACATTATATTTATAGCTTGCATGCTACTTTTTTTAAATCCAACAAAATAGTTTATTTTTTGTGGATCAAAACTTGTGCGTTTATTTGAAAAGAATTCAACAAGTGGGTTTTTTGCAACATTCAAATTGAGATTTAAAAAAATATATAAAAATAAATTGAAGTAGCTACAGTCAGTAGCACGTTGTGAAAAAAGGGAGAAGCAAAGGCAAAGTGTTAAAGTTGAAATCTCATTTTTTTTTCGTGGATTAAAAGTACACAAAAAAATTTATCATAAGGATTGAGTCTTTACGTGGAAATTAGATTTGATTCAGCAAAAATGGTAAGTACAAAATAAAAAAATGCATTTCTGAGCGGTTCAGTTTATCCAAGCTAGCGAGCAGTCACCCTGTGTTCGCTCTACACACAAGAAAAAAAAATTGTTCGTTTACGTACAACTACTAATGCATCCGTACGTCACATATTTTTTCATTTTACTTCATTCTGAAAAATATATGAAGAAACAAAAAAAACGAGTCTCGAGCCACAATCGTACTTCTCTTCTCTTCTCTTCCACTTTACATTTTTTTTTCTTACTTCAACGTGATTGTTGTTGTTGTTGTTGCTCCAAAAGCGTTGTTTTTAAAATGGAATTTCATGTCAGTGATTGTGATTGTGGCATTCCATTCCATCACAGGGTGACTCGCAAATAAGTCACATCGAGCACATTTTGTTGAGTTCTTTTTTCTCTTTTATATTGATCGGCATTTTCAATGCAATGCTGTTAATATTATTAACGATGAATTTAACTCTTTTTTTTTTGTTGTTTAAAAAATTATTTCATAATTGAAAGTTTCTTCAAAAAAATAATATTATTGCTGTTGATTTCAAAAGAAGCTTCAATGACATTCACGGAAAATTATAAATAATAAAAAAATGAAACGTGCAATTGATAAAGAATGCGCGCAGTTTTTTTAAAGGTTATGTTGTAACTCTCTCGAAGGGAAGAAACAACTTCACGTGCTTTTATCATAAACGAGTAGAATGTTGAATCAGTGATGGAGCTAGGGGGTCACTTTATGGGGGTCTTATTGTTTCAAATGGATTAAAATGCTAGCTTATCACGTTAGGTTGATAGGAGCCACACTGAGTGTCTTATAAAGATGTGTGTGAGTGATGATGCAAGGGGCAGTTGATATTGGGATCTTGAGTGGATAGGTGCGAATAGAAAGGTATGAATGAAGACCATTCCGTCAGTTGATAAAACCTTTAATGACTTATGTAGTTTGGTATGAAAAGTGCAGCTAAGAAGTCAAATGCCGACTCGAATAGCACATGTAGATGGGAACATTGAAGGGTTTGGCTGATTTATTGACACTATAGTCCACAATTAATTAGTTTTATTGCTTTAACTTCAATAAAGTTAAATGTTTGCATGAAAAATTAACATCATGACCCCCTTTAGCCCCCCCCCCCCTATTATTATCCCTTCATCCATCCCACAAAACCTCGTTTAAATTTGTAAATAGATGACACTTAAACGCTCATAATGCAAGCTTATTGTCGTATAATTGATGATTAAATAGACACACTGAGCAAAAAAATAATATTTTTTGTAAATATTTGTCATAGAAAATATTTTCACAATTAGACGAGTGAGAAGTTAAGTAAAATTTATGTGACAACACAGGCTTGCCCGAGACTCGATGGACTCTTGAATGCATTGAGAGGATGTTATGTAAAATAACGAGATTATAGAGTTGAATTGAAGTTGAAGAAATTGGAATTTTAGAGTAAAATGAGATTTGAGGTGTGCTGGAACGCATTTTTGGCGTTAAAAAAGCTTGTAGAAAGCTACAAACCCAGGAAATTCTCCAACCTATTAAAAACATCAATAACACTCACCTAGTTGCAGCTGAAAATAAAAAAAAATATATTTAACATAAATTGAGCATAAAAATGACGATTTTGCATTCATAATGCTGAAATATTTTCCACAATTGTTATGTAATTTCAACTTCACACTTTTTTTTATTATTATTTATGAAGAAAAAAAGATAAAATGAATATGAATGAATGAACGTGGTGTGAAATAAGATGGAAAGAAAAAAAAATATTTTATTTACTGCTATGCGTATTACACAAAAATAAATCTTATGGATGTGGAATTATTGACGCTTTCACGTTTGTATAAAGAATGTTTGACTTATGATGTTAAGGTTAGGGAGTAAAAAGGTTAATTTTCATTATTTTCAATATTCCAACATTTAAGATTTAAACTTTAGCTGACTTTTAAGATTCAATTTTAACGAACTTTTAAAATTCAAATTTTAGCCGACTTTTATGATTCAAATTCTAACGATCTTTTAAGATTCAATTTCAACAAACTTTAAAAATTCAAATTTCAGTGAATTTTTAGAATTCAACATTCAACGATCTTTAAAAATTCAAATCCTACCGAACTTCAAAAATTCAATTTTCAACGATCTTTTTAAATTCAAATTTCAACGAACTTTTTAAAATACAACTTCCAATGATCTTTTAAGGTTCAAATTTTAACGAACTTTCAAAATTCAACTTTCAACGATCTTTCATAATTCAAATTCTATCACATTAAAATATTAAAAATTCATCAATTCGCAACTTCCCGTTAATCACAATACACCGGTAAATAAGATCCAATTTGACATTTTTACAGTCTTCGTCCCACAAAAAAAAATTCAACAACTCCTCATCTTACATATAAAAATTTTCACAACAGCCCATCATAAAAATTCCAAATAGCTCATTTACCTCTGCCAAAAAATCCCCCCCCCCCTCCCCAAATTTTCACGTAAGTCATCTCATCATGTAAGAAGGTATTTCATATCTGAAAAGAAAGAAGCTCATTCATAAAGGCACTGTAATCGTTGCATGATCAAGAATAAAGAGTCTCACATGATACAGCTAAAATTTAATTCTGTATTTCATATATCAAGTCACCACATATTTCCTTGCTGATGTATCAAATTTTAATTTTTCGTGTTGAGTTCTTGAGATGATTTTGTGGGAATTTCAAGCAGGTGGAGGCATTTGCTTGATCTAACCAAGGCTATTATCTAAGGAGGGTGTACCCTTAATGCTTAGGTGTCTAGAGTAATTTTTAAAAATATTAATGCTACCCTTGTGCATCTTTCACTACTTTCTAGTGTACCGCGACACACAAGTTGGGCAACACTGCTCTTTTTTTTGGCTATCAACGTGTCTTAAATATAATAAGACTCTATTGCATTGATTTTTAAACTTTTGACAGAAAACCTGTATCACAAACCTTGGTTTGAGCAGCACTGCCTTAAAATGATACCCAAACCACAGTCCCCTAAAATAAGATTTAAGATTTCATCCAAGCTGTAAATATTCATCAAATTCAACCTCTACATCAGCCCATAAAAATTCCAATAGAATTTCCGCAAGGCAAAAATGCCAAGTACAATAATTTTTTTTTTCTTCATATATTCATTCCCAAGAATCTGATATTCCATCCATTTTCATCTACAAAAAAAAATTATTATATTGTATATATTTTTTTGTGTGTGGAATTTTTCAGCGAAATCATCCACAATTCATCCACAGGTGTTCGCTTATTCCTTCTTTCCATCTCCGTCTCCCCTCTCATTTGCCTTCTTTTCATTTCTTTTTTTTTCCTTTCCTTTCTCATAAACATGTACGCAATATGATGATGACGATCATATCTGATGACTTCTCATGAATACCTCGAGTTTTCTTATTTCTAAGACACTTCCAAGAATGTTGAAATATTTGGCGTTGACGAAAAAATTATCGATGAATATAAATTGCCATTTTTTTCTTCAATATCAAAAGACCTGTTGCTGTATGGCTGACAAGTCTTGCGAATATTTTTTTGATGCGCAAAAAAAAATATAATTTTTTTGGAAGCAGCAGCTAAAAAGCATTTATTTTCATCAATATTGGGTCAAGTCAGGTAGAAGGAGAGAATGTATAGTAAGGTGAAGGTATACATAATGATGATTGTGGTAATGCCCCGTAAAAATGTTTATACAGGTAAAATTCTTTTGCACCACAAGAGATCATAATAAACATATATCAAGCATATGTACGTACGTAAAATGAAGGTTCTGTTTTTGCGTAAGGTCATAAGCTATAAAAGATTATATCGATGAACAAAAAAAAATGTATAAAGGAATAGAAATGAAGGAGAGATGGATTGGAATGTTTATTGTTATTCCTACTTAAAGACACAAAAAAGGAATGAAGGAGATGAGAAACTTTTGGAGATTTAAAGAATTGTTCATGAGGGTTTGGCGCATTTTTGTTTTGTTTACGGCAATTAGTCAATATGATAATTTTCTTAAATTGATTTAGATCTTCATTTGGGATGTGCTTAGCATCCATAAGCAAGTTTATTAATTTTTAATCTCCAGAGATCTGAGGCCGATTTAAAGGAATATCTTAAGTATTTTTAGTATTAAACACCGATGTCCTATACTCTATAATGTAATGAGAGTTTGACCATGACTAGGATAGGAACCTCGAGTAGCTCTAGATACAGTTGAAATTACTCAAATTTTCAAGCACAAAGCTTCTTCTTATTAAGTTAAGTGTTATATTCTGTCTTGTTTGGTATGTAGGCTGATTAAACAGCTTAGCATTGATGCTACTGACTTTTGCGGTGTCTAAACTACTTCAACAATGTCATTTACCTATTGAATCTTCATTAAAGACAGTAAGCTTTAAATTGTGGTTCCGAAAATTCAGAAAACTATAAAATTGACCTAATGAGATTCGAACTCATGATTTATCAAGTTGGTAATGCTACTTTTCAATGCTGATTTCCCAGAATGTTAGGATTTCAAGCTATAACAATTAATAACTCTAGTTCTTGTAACTTAGCTAAACTTAGAGATGTATTGACGATTTCTTAGTTTAACGATTCAAACCTGACTAAACAGCGTTAAGTAAAACCCCGTCCAACCTTAACAAGACCTTACCAATCCGACATAACAACATCAACCAACTTCACTCAACAAACACAAAAACAAGCTCAAAAGTAAGAATGCAGCAAAGAACAAAATAATCAAGTCCAACACAGACAAACAAAAATCCCATCACTCATCAATACATCCCGAATCCTATTTTCCAACTGCTTCGATATGCTTTCTGTTTGATGAGATTATCACACTTTAACAAGTAGTAGAAGAGTAAATTAAGGCAAAGAAAAGAAAAAGAAAAGGTCAAAAAATTAAATTTTTCAATAAACGGAAATTCGTAAAAAAATAACAGAAAGAGAAGCACAAAAGAACATGTGCAGAAAGGCACAGAAGA